TCCTCAAACTCTTCCAAAAAATTGAAGAGGAAGGGACACTTCCAAAATCATTTTACAAGAGAGATCACACTTTCTGATTCCAAGCTCTGCAATGAAACATTACGCTGATAACAGGGCCAGAAAAGAATACAAAACGAAAACCGCAGACCAAGATCCCTGATGAACGCAGGTGCAGCAGTTCTCAACGACGCCCTGGCAGACCTCGCACAGCAGCTCGTCAAAAGGCACATTCACCACGACCGAGTGGGATCTGTCCCTGGGATGCTCAGATGGCTCAACATATGCAACTCGATTTATGTGATATATCCCAGTAACAGAAGGAAAGAAAAGTTGTGTGACCATCTCAACAGATGCAGAAAAGGCATTGGAAAACTTCAACATCGATTCATATAACAATTCATAACAAATTAGGTGTAGAATGAAAATTCCTCACCATAATCATAAGTGACAGGTTCAAACCTTTTCCTCTGAGAAGGAAGACAAGGTGCCCAACTCTCATCATTCCTGTAAGACAGACTCCAGGAAGTCTTAGCCATTGAGCAGCAAACAGGTGTACAAGGTATCCAACCAGAAAGGAAGGAGAAAAATTATCTCTGCTTGTAGATGACATTTTGTATGAAGAAAATCCTCGAGACCCAACCAAAAAAATCCACTAAGTCTAATCAACAAGTTCAGTGAAAATGCAGGTTATAAAATTAACATACAAAATGCAGTAGCTTTTCTATACACTACAACAAATTACGTGAAAAATAGGTAAAACTGATTCATTTACAATAGCATCAAAAGAAATAAAAGACTTGTGAATAAAATTAACCAAGGAGGTAAAGGATCTTTATTGCGAAAACTCCAAGACACCAATGAAGAGACTACGCAGCAGCGCCACAGGCGGGCAGGGGAGCCGGAGGCTGCACGAGAGCCGCCGGGACGGGTTTGGCCGTGACCTGCTGAACGGGGTAACCCAGGGGAGGTGTGGGCGGGGAGCGGCTGCCGAGGGTGAAGAGCCGTCGGTCGAGTCAGGGGCAGGGAGCGGGGAGACTCCCCAGCAACAGAAGCCACGGCTGGAGTTGGTCGGGGGGAGAGCTCAAGGCACAGAGTTCAGTAGGAGGAAGCCCCCTCCCCCCGGCCCCCGATGGAGCAGAAGGAACAAAACAACAGGGACAGGAGAGGCCAGAAAACTGCACGATGTCTACGTCATATCCTCGGTTCCACATCCCCTGGTTTCAGTTACCTGGGGTCCATCGGGGCTGAAAATAACATTAAGTGAAACATTCCAGAAGTGAACACTTCATACATTTTAAGTGCTCATTGTTCTTAGTAGTGTGTCCGGCTGTGTCCCACCTGAGAGGACTCCTCCCTCTGTCCGCGTCTCCGGGCTGTGCCGATTGTCCCTGAGGAGCTTCTCGGGTATCAGGTCTGCTCTGGGGGACCGCGGTGCTTGCGTTCAAGGGACTGTTATTCTGCCTCCTAGCAACGGCCCCGAAGAGCAGGAATGGTACGGCTGGCGATTCAGGTGAGCCAGAGAGAGCCCTGATGGGCTCCCTTTAGAAGGTGCACGTTCTCGACTTAATAAGGAAGGAAAAAACCACATGTTGAGGTTGCTAAGATCTACAGTGAGAACAAATCTGCCTGTGAAACTGTGAGGAAGGAAAAAGAAATCAGTGCTCACTTTGCTGTCACAGCTCACACTGAAAAGGTTACAGACAGCGCGTGACACGTGCTCCGTGACGACGGGAGAGGGACTCAGCCTGCGGGAGGCAGGCAATCAGAGAACGGTCCGCGGCTGACGGCACCACGTTGTGCCAGAAAGCACCGGGCCTCTGAGGGGAGCTCGGCAAGGGATCCCCGACTGCACGCCATTTGCCGCAGCTGCGGGACGTTTACCCAGAGGCAGGGGTCGGCCCTGCGCTTTATCACCTCCCATCACCCCACAGGACGTGCAAGTCCAGGACAATGAGATGTTGTGAGAGCAGGAAAGGGAGAGAGAGAGGCCACATTCACATAACTTTTATTACAGTAGATTGTTGTAACTGTTCTGATATTATCAGTTATTGTTGTTAACCTCTTACAGTGCCTCATCTGTGAGTTGAACTTCCCCGTAGGCGTGTGCGTACAGGGGAGGCGTAGCGCACGCGGCACTGGGTGCTGTCTGCTGTTTCCGGCATCCACTGTGGGTCCGGGACCCTGTCCCCTCGTGTAGGGGCGGCTGCGGAGCCTGCGACGTTTGTCCCTGGAAGGCAGGGCTACTTGTCCTTGTGTGCCAGTGCCTGGCGTACTGGAAGCACCAAGCAAACATCTGGTGAATTAAGTTGGACCCGCGAGGGCAGCTCCACACACGAGGTTCAAGGAGCTCGGCCCCAACCCGGTCGCGTCAAGCGCCCTCAGCTGGGAAGAGCAAGTGCTCCTCGCGGATACGCATCCACAGCGGGGGAGCAACCGGAACCAAATCGATAATGCAGTGACTTTGAACGTCTGCCAAGATACGGTAAAGACATTTAAAAAACAGCCTGAACTCCATGTGTATGGGATGGTGTTCAGAACAATGGCGTCTCACCAGCCATTTTTAAAAATACAGCAAAGATGTTCAAAACCTTTACTGTAGCTTGTGAGGGTGTGCCTTTTCTCCCCTACAAGGGGTCTTTTGTGATTATTTGTAGAAGCATGTGCAGTCATGAGGAGAACAAACGACATTAAAGGAGTAAATGACCCTCTAAGAATGCACAAGTGCCAGTTGCCATGACAACTGCTGGCTTTTACTGAATAGAGAGCAAAAAAAAAAAAAAATCAATTAGAAACCATTGGAAAATCTTGCATGGAAACACGAAACACCTCTGCCTCTCCCACCTGGAAACTCCCCCACTTCTCCGCACGGTGTCGGGGGCCAGGTCTGTGCCGGGGGCTGGGGCGTCGGGGGCCTCCCTGCTGGGCCGGCCTGTCGCTCTCCCTTCGCCGAGTCTCCCCGATGCCGCGCACCGCGGTGCAGCGGCCCAGGGTCGGCCCGTCGCCCGGCTCTTCGGCACCGATGTCATTAAACGACTCTCGGCTCTGGCCTACAGTTCTGCAAACCAGACAACCTGCAGGTTTGTGCAGTGCCATTTACATCTGCGTAGAGATGTCCCCCTAATGTGGCAGACGGCTGACTCATCAAAAAAATACGGGGACAGAGACAGTCCGCAGATGACCCCTGGCCACCCTCCCCCCGGCCTCCTTTCTCTCTCGGGGGGACTCACTGTCCTCCATCCCTAACTCCCAGAGGTGCTGAAAAGACTAAGAAAAGATGGCCAGGTTTTCCCAGAAACAGTCAAAGAACCTTGCTAAGCGGACAGAATGGGGAGAAGAGGCCTGCGAACCGGTGGCAGAGGCTCTGGGGTGGCGGCGGCAGGTGTGTGGGCGGCCGAGTGAGCTCCGTCCCATAAGGGAGCGGCCAGGCCTCAGGCTGGACGGTGCAAGTTCACAGACGGGACCGCCAAGCGCTGGAGGGACCCACTGAGGGGCCGCACCCCGCCCTGCAGTGTTTTCAAATGGCAGCCTGAGGCCCCTTACTGGTCCCATGGGGGTGAGAGAAGAAGAAGGAGGAGAACAAGAAGGAGAAGAAGGGGGGAAGGGGAGGGGAGAAGAAACAAGCAGATAGAACATATCATCATGAATCTCATCTGTAAGAGGAAGTGTTTTGCAAAACTTTCGTTTCATTCTGCCCTTCTCACTGTGCACGGAGGTACTCAGTCGCTAGACTGGGTGCATTTCTTATTGCAGACCCCGGCCGGCCAGGAGGTTGCAAGGCCAGGCCTCCTCCCTGCTAAGAACCCCCGAGTCATTGCTGTTACTGTCGTCTGCAGAAGAGAAAGGAGAAAAGAAGGGCGGGGGCGGGGGGCGGGGAGGGTTTATTCCGCTCCTCTGCTCCAGGGCCCAATCTCCCCCAAACCCACGATCCACCCACGGCCGTCACGCTGGGTCCCAGCGTTCCTGCTCCCTGTCCCCTCGTGTCCTTGCCCCCAAGCCCGGACTCACGACGCCGCCTCTGCTGTTTGGGCTCCGCACACGCTCTGCTCGCCCTCTACGGTCTCGGCTTCCGCGCCTCCCTCACCGCTCCCCGGCTGTCCTGCCCTCCTGCCCCCCTGCCTCACTGGTCATGGGCCCCCTGCCACTCTGCTGCCCCACCTCCTCCTGGCGCCCCTCCCCCCGCGCTCCCCTCTCGGCAGCCGCCTCCCGGGCCATCGTCTCGTTACCCAGCCTTTGCGGTCTCGTCATTTCTGCTTTCTGGCATGTATCTCTGGTCACCCCACATGAGGGAAAGCAACTTGATCCCAGGGGCAGCAGAACACGCTTGCTGTGCCGCTGTGAGGTCTGACGCAGCGCAGGGCACACAGTTGGCGCTCAATAAAAGTGCCTTAAATTATGAAAGCAGTGGTTCCCTCCTTTGCCTGGAAGCTCTGGCCTGCGCACTCCAGCACTTCCCTCTTTAGATTCAATGTGTGGCGGCTGAGGTGGCTTTGCCGCGTCTAGGGCTCGGTCTACCTCTCGACTCAGTTCATCGCATCTGCAAGGACTTGGTGGACGAGGCATGGGGTCGGGAGCTTGATCCTCAGAGATGAGGAGTTGAGTCTCAAAGAGGCAACTTGTACGCAGTGTCCCTAGGACAGATACTATAGTGTGACACACTCTGGGCCACCTCCCTCCTCCAATGGAAACGTGAGACCAACGACCACCGCACACTGTGGCGAGTGCCCACTCTGTGCAAACTCTGTGCGGAGAAACCCAGGTAATCAGGGCAGGGCGCGCCCCGTGTTTCCCGTGGCGCGAGCGTTCGGGCTCCCGCCCTAGACCTGGGCCTGGCGGCCAGTCCCGAGCCCGCGACTGCGCGTGGGGGGAGCCACAGGCTCGGCGGGATGTGCGGGTTCCCTGCGGGGCTGACAGCTCGTCATTAGGGCCGTCCTGCCAATCAGCGGGTCTCTGGGCGGAGCCGCCCGCGGCCACCGAGCCCGCCCCTCGTCGGCGCTCCTTACCGAGCTGCTCCCCCAGGCGCCGGCCTCTCTCCGTGGAGACGACACGCTCGTCCTCCATGTCACACTTGTTCCCGACCAGGATGACCTGGGCGTTATCCCAAGAGTACGTCTTGATCTGGGTTGACCTAAAAGAAAAGGAACAGGCAAAAAAAAATTATCAGAGGAAAGTGGAAGAGCCTAAACCGAAGAAGAAATGTGTCACATGCACAATGAGAGCAGCAAACAATGGAGCCCAAATTTGGAATTAATCAGTTCAGTGGAATTCCGCCCCTCAGATAGCCTTCAGGGGTCGCGCACATCAGAAGTGAAAGTGAGGCGCCGCTGCACTAGGAATTCTTCTGTGTTTGATGTGTTGCTCCCTGCCCCCGGCTTCTAGCTGGAGGGGCTGGCGATTCTGTTGGCCCACCACTCTCAGTTTCAGGGGTGAAGGGCCCGTGTCCCGAGAAGCCCCTCAGTGCCAGGAAGCCCCAGGCGGTCGTCACTTGACAGCCCACCCCAGAAACATAATTCCCCTCATTAGAGCAACAACGGAGAAAGCCAAGTCTCCTGGGGCCTGGGAAACGGGAAGTTTTTTAAAAATGAATTAGAAGAACTAATATATACTCACGGTCTCACATTTTTAAGACAAAAATGCCAGGTTCATTACCATTAAAATTGCAATACAAGGAGCTGGTGCTTTAGGTTACTATTCTCCAGATATCTAGGATTCAGGATAAATCTCCAGTATGAACCAGGACACACGAGACCCTCTTGGTTTCGACTTGGATAGTGACGGCCACAGTCCACACTGGCAGGCTCCATTCTAACCCCCTCCCGATGCTGTGCTCGTCTCCTCCCGAGGGCAGCTTCTCCTCCACCGCCAGGGAGGGTGGGGCCCAGCGAGGCGAGGTCCTGGCCCGAGACCCCTCGCTGGGAACGCGGACCTGGGAGCCCTGGGGCCTGCGCTGGCTGCCGGCCGGCCCCCCGGTCCCCCCGGTCCCCGACGGCTCAGCGCAGCTGGAGACGCGGCCTTCCGCAGCCTCCTAGAGCGACGGCTGTGGTCAGGAAGCGGACAGGAAGCGCGTCCTTAAACCTCCTTCGCACTGGCCGCGTTCTCCTTTGGGAACGAGTCTCGGGTGGGAAAGACACACGGATCAAACGCTGAAGAGCTAAATGCGTGATGAAAGCTTAATGGGAAAGACCTGAGAAGTGTGAAGAAGAGAAGCTTGGCGGTGCTCTTACCAGCAATTTTCAAATCCTCTGGATTATTAAACGGAAAGTAGTGATGAGCTGCTCTCAACGTGCCGAGAATAAAAGCAAATCGCATCACACAGCAGCAGGGGCGCTGCCTGCGAGGCGCGACCTCCCCCCCTTCTGACAGGACCGGAGGCTGCGGGGGTGGGGGCTGATGTCGGCCCCCCAGCCCAGGGCGAGTGATCAGATGAGACACAATTTCTGGTGAAACATAATCTTGGCTGCATCTCAGAGACGCACCATACGTGTTTTACCAGGATCACCTGTGAACGCGAGCTTTCTACTACGGCGTGTGAGCTAACAACGCAGTCCTTAAGCAACAGCGAGATTCAGCAAATACCCACAAACCAGGAAAATAAAGGCAGATGCCAAAACTGCACTTTGCTCTCACCTCTTCTTTTGTCTGGGGTGTATAAAAAAGTATGAATTCATAGAGAATTTACATGTAAAATGTAGACTACACATGGATAAACCTTTAGTCTCAAGTGCTAACATAGTTTTACAAAGAAATTCCAAAGGTTCTTTTAAAGGAACCCAAACTGAGCTGGATTTCCCTGGGCAAGCTTCCAAGGACCCCTCCGCCCCCCACCCCCCGGCTGCCCAGGGCAGGGCTGCCCCCTCCCAACCAGGCCCCGTGGAGGCCCCGTTTGTGTTAGTGGACAGAGTCCTTCTACGCAGCTGGGAGCTCAGCAGCCAGACCAGGAGGCGGGGTCCCCAGAGGGGCCTCAGCTGCGTGAGGAGGGGCCGGGCTGTAAGTGACAGGCCTCCTGGGTTTGGGGTCAGACGCTCGCTCCAGGAAGTTCAGCCCGCCTGCGACCTTGGCACACTCGCCCCTTTAACCAAGGCCACGGGGCGCCTGCCCCTGCCACTCGGCACAGCGCGCTCGCCCCCGAGGTGCAGGCTCCCCGGATGCCCCGGCCGGCCCCTGCAGCCCAAGGCCCCCACCCCGTGCGGGGGCTGTCGTCGGTGCGCGAGGCTCCAGGGCTCACGCTCAGCCTCCTCGCTCGCAAGCATCTGTCTCGGGAGAGATGCGCTGTCAGTCCCGGATCAGGCGGTTCTTCCACCAAAATCCTGCTCAGTTTGTACTTTCTAATTCCTATCATCTAAATACTAACAACTTTTTCATTAAAGTATCTCAAACATTGTCTCCGGTTCATATCGCGAGGCGGAGGTCCTACACGGGGAAATTTCTGTCTCTGGCCTGTTAGGACGAAGAGAAAGCCCTCCTTCCAGGCAGTGTTTCTGCATATTTTGTCTTTCAGTCAATTTGCTGTATTTTGTAACATTTCTTACTTTGGGACGTGGGATTTTAACCTCCTCATTAGGGACTGTCTTGTTCCTTCGTTGGTGAGAGACATTAAAGAAAGTGACTGTCACCCAATAATATCTGCGTGAACAGAAGATTTATTTCTGACTCGCTGCCGAAGACCCTTTGGGGTTTCCTGTGAAACTCAGCAAGATTAATGGGCTCAGAAGCAATGTGCTGGTCACCACGGTCACTCAGCCGGCGGGCGGGGGGGCAGAGCTCACCGGCCCCAGGTCACAGCTGCTAAGAAACCCGTGGTCCAAGAAACACCTCCCCCTCTCTCTGTATTTATGTATTTCCCATATTAAAAAAAAATATTTTCCCTCTCTCTAAAAATATACATATATTTATATACACAGAGAGAGGGCTTTTATTTTTTGTTTTATATTATGAGGCAGCAGGAGAAGAAAAGAGTTTTCATGTATTACACGTAAATGACTGAACTCTGCCCGGAATGAAATAATTCAAGTTCCCATTCTTTCTTCCTTGTGCTGGGCACCTAAATAATTTCCAAGGAGCTTCGCCTGTTCTCAGAGAGAAGGGCCTGGAACGCAGGGCCCAGAGGCACCGCGGTGACCCAGACCCGCAGCCGCCTCGGAGGGCCCGGCGCGCGCGGCGGGCGGCCGCGGGTCAGCGGTCCCGCGACCTGCCGCTCCCGCGGCCCCTCCGTGGCGGTGCCGGCGACGCCGTCGCTCGTGCGTTCGCCGCCCCGCCTCTCGCGGAGCTTCCGGACCTCGCGCCAGCCCGGAGCGTCGGTCGGAGCCGCCGGGACTGCGACGCGGGCGTCTCGCCAGGCCCCTCCGGGACGCGCGCACGTGCAGGGCGCGGGGACCGCGGAGCCGCCCCGCACGCTCCTCCTCCCGGGTTTTAAGGGGCCCGAGGTTCGCGTGGCAAACGCGAGGGTGGCGGCGGCCGCGCGGCACACGGGGCGCCGCAGTGACGATGAAGGGCTCAGCAAGCGTCGGGCAAGTGCTGGCCAACGCCCGCTATCGTTTATCATTTAACGAAACAGGCTTACAGTCTGGGGTAAAAGCCCTATATTCTACTTAAAAATTCTGATGATAAGAAAACCTACAGCAAAATATAAAAATCACCAGAAATTGCAGTGCCCCCAGGTACTGACCACTAGCGTTTCGGTCCACACCCTGTCATCGGGGCTGCTGAGCCCGCCCCGTGGCCACCCCCCACCCCGCGACTGTGCGTGGGCGACGTCCCGGCCCAGGGCCCCGGCTGTTCCCCATCACTCGGCCGCCCTGGCAGCGCCGCTGCGGGGCCTTAGGCCGCGGCTTGTCTTCCACGCCGGCGCCGGCAGAGCCCTGACCGGGGGCAGCCCGGGGCGGGAGGGGCCGCCTGGCCGCCGTGCGCGCACAGGCCTCGCCGGAGAGCCGCCCTCGGGCTCCTGGGTCATATCCTGCTCCCACCCCGGAAGGACCTACTGATAACGGCCACCGTGATCTGTAACAACATTATTCTGTGTTAAAGTGAATCATTAAATTGCACAGAAACGGCCCAGAAAAGGAATTCTATCCCTTGCTCGGGTGGGGGCGGGGGGCGGGGCAGCAGCCGCCGGCGCCCCTGCCTGGATCTGCTTTCCCGGGCCAGGCTGGGGCTCCCAGGACGCTTTCCCCGCGATGCGGCTGCTGTTCCCATCAACACCCCCGGAGCGTCACATTTTATAAGAAATAATGAGATCAAAATACTGTACATCGCTGAGTTCCCTGGTGGAGAATATTAAATGTACATTTGTATCTTGAAGACTCTTGCAGATGATCAAATTTCTCTTAAGAAAAGATGCATAGAGTATTTCACCGCCTGACCACAGTTATCGATAAGGATGCAGCTGAAAAGCAGGTTCATAAAAGCAGAAAGAAATAAGGGCCCAGATCTAATAAAATTATGCACTGAAAGACTAGAATTTCAGAAGCTTCCCCAAATCAAGTCAAACTCTGACGACATGTCTTTTCTTCTTTTGCGAAAGAGACGGCTGTCTGGATCTCTCCGTGCCTCAAGCTGCTGTAGCTTCCCAGCAGCATCCACTCCCCCCGAGGGGCCCAGGGAGGAGCGGCCGGTGCGGGGCCAGACCGTCCCCAGACCGCGCCCGCGCCCGGACTCCTTCCTGAGCCACACGCTCAGCATCTCTGCGTCGCTGTCTGGCCGGCGTGCGCCGTGCGCCCTCCCAGACGCGCCACACACTGCGGCCTGGGCCCTCGCCCCGCTCCCTGCTCCCCGCTGCGGCCAAGGCCGGCCCTCTGGGCCCCCCCTGCCCCGTCACTGCCCCGCCGCCCACCGGGAGCTCGGGAGGCAAGCCCCGCAGCTGCCCACTCGGCTCTGCCCACGACCCCCTCCTCCAGGGCCCGGGGGATGTCACGTCCTGCACTGACTGGTCATGGCCTCTTGGTGGGTCTCCGTGTCCCTTTCATGAAGCCCCCAGTCTACGGTCACGGAGGGGGGGGGATCCTCCCAGAAGGGCCATGGCACCACCTCAGCTTCCAACCGCGCCCGGAGGGCTCTGGCCACCGCGCCAGGCTCCACGAGAGCCCGTCTGCAGGCCTGCGATTCTGCCCCCGCCCCGCCTCCCCCCCGCCC